TGTGTGTGTGTGTGTGTGTGTGTGTGTGTGTGTGTGTGTGTGTGTGTGTGTGTGTGTGTGTGTGTGTGTAGAAATTTCTTGTGTGAGGGTGTACAAACGGGAGACGGTCTGGGTACAACGCTGTGCACCGCGAGCGGGGCTGCGGCTGGGCAAGCGCGCCTGGGCTCATACATGTTGATGCAGCTCCCAGCGTTGACCTCACACTTCACTACTCTCCCATAACGATTAGCGCCGCCTTCTCCCTCACTTGCAATCCCCTCAAGTTCCTCTCCTCACATTCCACCTCCTACTATCTGTCTCCGTCTTCGCCCACCCACCCACCCAACCACCCCCAGGCTGTCTGATGGCGGACTGGTTACGGACTTTGCGCTGCCGGGCATCGGCAGCATCGGGGGTTTCAGCGGAAGCCGCAAGGGCACGGAATTCTTCTTCTCGTTCCAGAGTGAGCCGCCGCACACCCAGCGCGACGGGCGGCGGGTGGCAGGCATAGCCCTGCTGCGCTGTGCTGCGCCTCGGTGCCTGCACCGCAGCCGATTTCCGAGGCCGGGGGGACGGGGAAGGGTGCCATTCACGTGGCAGCAAACGCACGGGTCGCTGGCTGACACACGAACCCTGCCCTGCCAACTGTCCAATGGTGTTCTGATAATTTCCCGGCATCACTTCCAACACGCCCTGCCCCGTTCACCTGTGCCTCCAGGCTTTGTGGAGCCTGGAGCCACGTACCGGGGGGATGCATCTGAGCCCGAAGCCCAGCCGGCCCTGTTCCGGGCCACCAAGCTGAGCGTGGAACATGACCCCTCAGATTATGAGGTCAAGCAGGTGGGTGGGGCAAGATGTGTACATAACCCTTGGCAGTTTGTGCGTGCGTGTGTGTGTGTGTGTTTGTGTGTGTATGTGTATGTGTGTGTGTGTTTTTGTGTTTGTGTGTGTGTGCTTGCGCTTGTGCGTGTGCGTGCGAGCGTTCGTGTCGTTTAGCGGGCATCACACAGCATTGGACGGATGGTTCACGCATTAATTCAGGGGTTGTCTGCCTTCAGCTCGCATGCTTCTGGTCGGCCCCAGCCCCATCTGGGCATGGCCCATGGGCTCCACAGCCTGGCTTAACAAATTCATCCCTCCCCTGCGCCCCACCCCTGGGCGTGCCGCGCCAGCTTTTCGCCACCAGCAAGGACGGGACCAAGGTTCCCATGTTTGTGACGCACCGCAAGGGGCTGCAGCTGGACGGCAGCAACCCCACACTGCTCTACGCCTACGGTGCGCGGGGGAAGCGGGAGAGACAGGGCGCCGCGCACGAAGCGCAGCGCAGCAGGGCTGCGCAACGCAGCTGCCAGGACTGAGTGCGCGTCGAGGGGCGAGGGAAGGAAGGTTGCTTGAGCCGTTGCTGGCGCCTTGTTTGGGAGCCCCATGTAGCAGGGCAAAGCTCAGCCCGCCGTCACCGCCTCCTGGCGCCTTCCAACGACGTTGGTCTTGATGAAGCCTGCTCAGCCCACGAGACGCACCCAACAATCACCTTCAGCACACACCGCACCTACCCATCGCGATTCTCGGGCTCCAACCCCCGCCCCCCCCCCCAGGCGGTTTCAACATTAGCCTGGAGCCCACCTTCAGCCCCTCGCGCCTCACGTGGCTCAAGGCGTATGGCGGCGTGTACGTCCAGGTGGGGCCGAGCCGGGGCCGCAACCAGCGCGCGCGTTCGTGTGTCGGTCACTGGCAGACTGAAGCACCCCGGAAAGCTTTCATGCCTAGCGGTCAGGCTTGGTATAGGATGCGGGTGTAAACAGCACAGCGTCGGCCGTTTCGCTTCTGCTGCGGAGCTCAAGCAGCGTTGCATGTGCTCTTGAGTTTCTCAGCATGCGTACTTTGGGCACACGCGCAATTTTCGTGCCCGACGACGAGTCGGCGCTGAAACACCCCATCCAAACTCATGTGACATCGCGCGGCGTCCAGGCCAACCTGCGCGGCGGAGGGGAGTACGGCGTGGAGTGGCGCGACGCAGGCAGCAAGCAGAACAAGCAGCACGTGTTCGACGATTTCCAGGTGGGGTCGGGAGAGAGTGTGAGTAGTGTGTGTCTAACGGCGTGTGTGCCGGCGCGTGTGTGTATGCACGGGCGCACCGGCGCGCGCATGCATCAGGAGCCTGTATCGGTTGAGTTGCTCTTGTATTTGGAACGGTCACCTGGAGGCGCCCGGCAAGGCTGCGGTTGTGATTGGCTGCTGGCTGCGGGCGAAAGGGAATGGGATGGTGTGGGATGTGACATGGGACTGGTTGCCCAGTGCTGCTGCTGGCAGTTGTTGGCCCGGTCTGCCCCAGGCAGTGCGACCATTGTTGTGTCCTGTTGCCGCTTTCAACCTACCCCCCGGTCCCAGCGCTGCCTATCTTGCGCCCGGGGCACGTGGGGAGCTTGCAACGCACCTCTCGCCCCTGCTCGAGCCTCCTCCGGCCCCGCCCCGACCCTCCCACCC